TACGCGTTCGGTTTCCAAAATGCGTTTTGTTTTTCCTCAATATCCTTGACAGTATCTGCACATTTTCGGTCCTTCCTTTTCTCAGAATTCAGCGTGGATCTCTAAAGAAAAGGAAGACTATGAGAAAAGTAACATAGTGAAAAACTACTACCAAGAAGAAAACAGCTTTAATCATCGGTTCTACGATGATATATGAGCGGGTGTTGAGACTCTTGGGCGAAGGGTGGGCCCGTATAAGAAACAATAAGAAATATGATATACAAGAGATTGGTGGTTCAGTGTTCATTGCGAATACTGTACCGAGAACAACGAGTATGACCTTAGGTGGTCCAAGCGTGTGGAAGAGTAAATGAAGGACCTCCTAATTAGCATGAGATAGGCATAGCCCGCCCCCTCACAAGAGGCCAGATACGGTAAGACAAGGAATCATCGGTTCTACGATGATAGCTTTAACGTTGAATCCAAACGAACGCTTTTAAACTGAGGTTGTATTCGAGAAAGTGAAGGGCCTCTTCCCGTCGTCTGCAGTACTGTTCTTCTGACAAAAGGTTGGCGCACAGTAATCTCTTGGGGGAGTTCCGTTATGACATTCTGCATGTTATTGTAGAGTTGTCTCAGAACATAATTTTTATTGTTTTTGAGCAAAAGCCGGGCAATCTCGGAGACTTGAGCTTGCTCTCATGCCACTAGCTGAGAAGTACGTCTTTCCGCGTATGTTGCAACTTAGCTCCTCCGCGTATATCGCTCTCTTCACTGCATTTTTGATCTCATCGATATCGTCTTCGGTGGAATTGTGGACCTTCCGCATGTGTCTGTAGAGGTTTGTAAGGGAAAAAGGTCATTTTTCGCAATTGGGACATACTGCGGACGTGCGCATTCCAGGAAGCAACTGAAAATGGTACGTTACATAACCCAGATGCTCAGATTTGAAGATATGAGTGCAATGAACAAGTTAAACGATGTAATGTGCTAGTACTTGTACGATATAGAGAAATTGCAAAAGATCGGAAAGCAAAGACGAAACATTGTAGTGAAATAGAATATAGTAGATTTCCTTAGCTCGACAGACATTCAGGTATTCTTTCATAATCAGTACTGCATCAGATAGTAAGTGAATAATGTTAAAGTGGGACAGTTCGATGAAAAAGATATAAAATCGCGAATAAATTCTTATTGGAAAATAACGCGCTCCAATGATTAAAGTTGCTCCAATCGCAACAACCCCCCACAAGCGGGTCCGTTTACCGTCACTCACCCCAAACACGACCCTCTTGTGTGTATTACCTTGAAAATCTCTACTATATGTTTTCCCTTTGTACTTGTGTAATAATTTCAATTTTATTATTCACAACTCCCTTTGTTCCTTATAGCTCAAATATCTCAAATGTTATAATTTTCTTTTGTTCTCATAGTCTTCTGGTGTATATTCCTATTCTGTGTAGAATCCTGCTTGCCGTTTACGCTCTAAATTCTGCAGTATACCCATACAGATGAGCGGTAAGAAGAAAGCTCAGAAGAAAAAGGGACGAAATAAAGATCCTGGAGCTGATGATTTCGATGATCTCGTAGAATGTGCAAATGATGATGGATGCGGTCTATCGAGAAAACATGCAACAGATATAATAAGGTGAGCTTCTCATGTATTAAAACTTGCCTTAACTATTTGCAACTTTACCTGCTGTTTTAAAGCACATTCTTACTCTTTCCTTTGCTGAGCTTATTCGCTTATGAGGCCTATATTTCGAAGAGTTTCATTCTTATCTGTTTTTCAACTAATTTTATTAAGGTTGATCAAGTATCATAATAAGCCATTAAACAAGGTTGCAACGGAATTCATTGAGGTGGTTTATCTTCCTTTTGGAGGGAAAGAATTGCTCATTGTAATTTCTTTCCCTCTAGATTTTCAAAGAACGGTGTTCGCTTGTGGTTGGAATGGCTCTTCTCGCAATATATGATGACTTAGCTCCGACTGATGACATGGCCAGCAGAATCGTTACAATTTATCTAATCTACAGGTTCGCATAATACGCTAAATTTTCATCTTAATTCTCTCGTTCATAAGTCAGCGTTATCTTGATTCCATTTGCTCGGCTTTACCTTGCTTCATCAATTATATCCCTTTTTTTT